GGTGGGAGGATGTCACTGTGGTGGGAGGATATCACTGATAGGGTGTCAGTGTGGTGGGGGTAACACTGGTGGGGGTGTCACTGGGATTGGGATGACACTGTGGCGGGAGGGCCACAAGCCTCGAGACCTCTTGTCATATTTAGCCCAAATCCTGGGGTTGGGGCCGCCCAGCTTAGTGACATCCACAGAATGCATAGTAATATTTGATTAAGGTACTTGCGTATTGCATCCCCATCTTTCACATAAATAAATTGAGATTCAGAGAGGTTAAGAAATTTACCTGAAATTGCACGACTAGTGAGCAGCAAAGCTGGGGCTCAGGGCACGCTGCTGAGCTGGTAACTGGCCTCTCCTCTCCAGGCAGCATGGCCTGAGCAAGGAAGAAGAGTGGGGGGGTGTGGAGCAGGAGCCTCAGCCAGAGCACGCCTTGTGCAGCCACAGACACAAAACAGAGCCACTGCCTTCCAGATGAGCAGAGGGCCACTTGGTCCAGTTCCTTGACGGTCGGGGACGGGCAGCCTTCCTCTGACGGTGGCGTGTAAGCCCAGCTCTCGTGCGGCCATAGTCTGGCCCCAGCCAGGTAGAGCAGCTTTTCCCAGCCATCACCCCTTAAGATGCAACACAGACAGGTTCAGTCGTCCATGAGCAGCAGGTGCTGGCCCCAGCACCTCCTCCCTGTAAAGTCATAATGCAGTGCACGCTGGCATCTCAAAGGTAAAGGGGTGTCCCGTAATAAAAATGTCCAATAGAGTTACCTCCAGCGCTTCCTATACATTTACACCTTATTCTTTCAGTGGCAGTAACACCTCTGAGCAATGCCCTTCTGGACCGAGTTGTTGTGGGAGGGGTATGTGCACTTGTGTGGGGGTTGCTGGTGACCTTATCTACCGTCCACCATAGCAGGTGAGGGACCCTGGCACCTCTAGGCTGGCTCAGCCCCTCCTTGAAGAAGCCCTGCACCGGCCCTCCTGCCTCGCCCTCCAGTACCTGGAGGCCCAGAGCACAGGTAGGCAGGGTGCTGTGAGGGAGTACACGGCCCTTAGCTGGTTGTGCAGCTGTATTTCACGGCAGGGCCCGCCTCAGACCTCCAGAGCAGTGGACCCCCGGTGACACTGGCTCCAGATGCTCAGCAGATGCCAGGCATGGGACCAAGGCCTTGTCTCTGAGGGCTTGGCTTGCTGTTCTGGAAGGTAGTCCTGGCTGTGAGCCACTCCGGAGCCCCTATTTAGAGCAGTTGTCAAGCAGTTGCTGAGTTCCTGCTCTCCTCCCCCCACCCCAGCAGGACTGTGATCTCATGTGTCTGCCATGCTGGGGGTGGGGGAGTTGTGGGGGGAGGGTCACAGTCCGAGGCCAGGGCAGCGTGCAGGGCTCCCACCCCCTCGGGTCCCCAGAGCCCAGTGTGCAGCTTGCTCTCAGAGGTGCATCCCAACCACCGCAACAGCTTGGGCACCGACTGAGCCCTGGCTGGGGGGCCAGTGCCTGTGCACTGCCCCCCAGAAGAGCAAGGCAATTGGGATGAAACGGTGCTCGCTCCTGGGGCCACTGTCGGAGCTGCTCTTCTAATCACCCTGCAGTTCGCCTCCCCGATGGAGTGCAGCCCTCTGGCTTTGTGACGGAAAAAGCACTGAATGGGGAGCCTGAAGACCCCTGGCCTTGGGCTGCGGAGCTGCCGCTTATAAACTAAGGCTCTTCTTTTCCTGTCCAGAAGTGTCTGGGTTCTAAACTGCTCCTGCCACGTCCCAGGTCCTGCGGAAGGAAGCTGTTTGGGGCCCCCTGCCGGTCCTTCCAGCAAACCGACCTGAAGGCCTGTGACGTGGTGAGAGGGGCCTTGACTGGCCCCAGATGAGAGCTGTGACACTCACCCGCCCCTGGGGCCTGGCCGGGTTTCTGACGGTGGCTCCTGAGCTCTGAGATCCAGTTGCTGGCTACTTTGTGTTTCCTTGGCCTCCCTGTCCCTGCGCCCTGTGGGGACCCAGTTACGTCTGCACCGCGCTCTACCTGCCGCCCTGGGGCTTGACCGCCACCAGGGTACTCCAGGGCCCGCTCCCAGCCCCGGGCTCACACACTGTCAGGTTCTCTTTATCACCCCCTCACCCACCGACCTGCTGGTGTAAGGAGGTGTTGAGGGCAGGACAGGTTGCAGGGAAGTGGCCCCTGCAGTTGTCCAAAAACACAGACAAGCCACGGCCCCACTTAGGGAATCAGGCCTGTGGCTGTGCTGCCTCCCGGGTTGGTGACACTGGCCTGTTTCTGGGACAAAAGCTCGATATCAGCAGACTGATTTGGAGGGGGTTCCACAGGCTGCCCTCCTACGTCCTGCTGCCCTGTTGCAAGGGAAAGGTGAGACACACAGAGGGAATCGGGCCTCCCAAAGGCTCCGAGGGGCCCGTCCAAGGGCAGCCTCTACGTCCAAAGTTTTGCCAGACTTGGCTCTCAAGGTCAATAAGAGCACACTTGTTTTTTTCTCTCACCAGCCTCCGACAACTTGCAGCAATAGTGCTGTCCAGGGGTGACAAATAGTGGGGTCACTGGAGAAGCTGCTTGACTGGTGTCTGTTGTCACCGCCTGGGGCTCTGGACGTGGGCCCTCCCCTCCCCATCCCTTTTCTGCTGTTCTCTTTTCCTGAGACCTTGAGAGGTGAGGCAGGAACTGGGAGCAGGAACGTGGCTCGGCCTGGGGAGGCTGCCCAAGCATTCCGTTCCTCTGGCCAAGCAGGGTTTGGGGGACAGGCAGAAGCCACCGTCCCAGCTCAGCCAGGCTGCTTCTCCCTGCTGTCTGACCATAGCCCTGTTGTGGCGTCATGCTGCCCCCTGCTGGTCAGGCTGGCGAAATGCAGCCTAGGATCTTCACCCTAACCTGCCCCTGGGCTGGAGACTGGGGGCTCTGAGGAACACGTGTACCCTACTGCCCCCGGCGATTCTAGGACTGCATGGGGAGACAAGTCTGGAACTGCCTGGCACACAGGCATGTTCGCTGAGTGAACACAGGAATGAATGACCGAATGCATCTGAAGCATTTAGGTGGTGATGGTCTGCAACGCCCGACTGAGAGCAGGCAATGAATCGCATCAGACATTTGTGGGGCAGGGACTGAGACTCCTCTTGGGCTGACAGGCGCTGAAAAAGAAAACCAACTATGAAGAGGTAGATGTTGCTAGCCCCTGATGCGGGTGACCCTAGAGCAGCCCGGGGCCTTCTGGGAAGTGGCAGGGAGATGGTGGGGTGAAAACCACAGAGCACTCTGGAGAGACCCCAGTCGGCCACTTGGCATGGAGTGGGGGCAGGGAGGGGCGAGCGCCCCTCCAGCGTTGAGGCTGAGGGCCCAGAGGTCTCCGCAGCCACCCTGGGAGACAGGCGCTACCTCCCATTATTCCTGTGCTACTTGTGAGGAAAGGGAGGGTGAGAAAGGGCCTGTGACTTGCTCAGGGCGCCACAGCAAGAGTTCGTGGAACCAGATCCAGACCTGGTCTCAGGAGATTTTTGGTGGTCAGGTTCAGGTGCTCAAACTCAAGGGTTTTTCAGTAAGAGGTGATGTGCTCAAGGGCAAATGGGGGAGGGGTGGGCGTCACAATGGCCACTTTAAAGCTCCCTGGGCTTTATTTCCTAATGGAAATAAAGAAACTCCTCACTCCCTACTCAGGGCTTCCTGCAGGTGTGTGGGCCAGCAGAGGCCCGAGCTCTCCCTCCCCCACAGCAGGCGTCCAAAGCAGCACTGACGGGGAGGGGCTCCGAGTGTGGGACTTGTAGAGAGGGCTCCTGGGAGAGGTAGTTGTGCTGTGGGGACAGCCTGGCAGCCCAGAGCCACGCTTCAGCTGAGGCAGGCCCAGTGTGGGGGGCGCAGGGGCTCTGCACGCTGAGCTCTCGCTCTCCATCCCACCACACCCCCTCTGGCTGCCTTTCTTTGCAAGAGCTTGGTGAGGTGACAAGGCCAACCCTGCAGCTCTACCCATACCTCCGGGAGGGGGCTCATGCCGGCCTGGGGCTGCTACCCGGCCTGCTGGAACTTCCTTCCAGACCTCTCCTGCCTTCCTGGGAGAAGCACAGGCTGGGCCTGCAGCCTGGGGTTCAGATTAAGGCAGGGGAGGGTCTTTCCTGTTCTGGGCAAGGCGTTCTCTCCCCACTCAGGGTGCCCTGCCACCATGGCCCCAGAACGTGCCTGAGGCCCCCCAGAGGCTCGGCCTTGGGCACATGTGTGATCCATGGAGCCCCAGGTCAGGGAGCAGCACATGGCTGCCCCGGGTGGCACTAGGGGGTTACTGACCCCAGGCTGCTGAGATTCAGCCTCCCACTCTGCCTTCCACCTCAATCCTGGCACACTTCCTTCATCTGCCATCAGGCCCTCCTCCCCCAGGTCCTCGGCAAACCGTATCAATTCGTACGTACATATTGTTGATTCTGGTTACACAGTGAAACAAAACCTGAGCATCAGCTCCTAAGAGATTGACTGTCTGGGGTTTGAACACCCCAACAGGATAAGCCACCTTGGCCTTATCCCACGATGTGTGGTTTCCCTCCTGCTGTTCGGGACTCTCCTGCTCAGTTGCAGAACCCCTCATCCCCTGGGGGAGGGGGACCCAGCACTCCTGGGGACAGGAAGAGCACTGGGTTATGGGGACCCATTGTTTTCTTACAGTTGGGGTGCCCCTGGGTGTTCTGGGATGCTAGTCACTCATCAGGGACCTTCACTGGGCACCTTCCATGTGTTAGGCAGGGTGCAGCCCTGGGGCGACTATGGAGAGTCAGGCCCTGAGCCTGCCCCCCAGGAGCCCCATCTGGCAGAAGAGGCAGCGCACAAGCTGACACTGCAGAGCGGATTTGTGCAGACCGGCAGCACAGTGGGGGTGAGCGGGAGCGAGAGAGAAGGCACCCCAAGGAACCACGTAGATCGGATGGCAGGAGGGCGTGGCCGGGCTGAGACCAAGGGTGCAAAAGAGTCTGCAGCAGAGGGCCTGGGACAGGGAGAAGGGGCGGCCCCTGACTGGTCCTTCCGCTCCCCCGCAGGCTCGTGGAGGAGTTCATGCTCCTGGCCAACATGGCAGTGGCCCACAGAATCTACCACTCCTTCCCTGAGAGGGCACTGCTGCGCCGGCACCCCCCACCCCAAACCAAGATGCTCAATGACCTGATGGAGTTCTGTGACCAGATGGGTCTGCCCATGGACTTCAGCTCCGCTGGAGCCCTCAATGTGAGTGCTGGGAGCTGGTGGTTGAGGGGGGCCAAGGAGAGTCCCTGTTTGGGGGAAGAGGAGGAAGGCCTGGAAGTTGGAGGTACAGCCCTGAGGAGAAGGCCTCCAAGTCCCCGAGGCCCTGGCTATGGGCCGTTCTCACCCCCAGGACCAGCAAGGGACTCAACTTGAGGCTCAGCTGTGGGCAGGGGTCCTATAGCCAGGGGTGGGCTGGGTCACGGGAGCCAGAGCGTGTTTTTAATGTACATGGTGTCAGCGGTGCACTGCCTGGCGCTAAGCTGCATAGAGCTCAGAGGGCCATGGCCCTAGCCTTGCTCCCCCAGGAGGGAGACTCTGCCTGTGCCCTGGGCCCAGGGTGGCTGGGGTGCCTTAGGTCAGATGGCTGGAAACTGCCTGTCCAGGCCAGCCTACCACAGGAGAAAGGCCTGACCTCAGAGCCATTGCCCTTGAGACAGGCCCCATGAGGGACCCTGGCTGGGGTCCCGCTGGCCCCCTGCACCTCACCCATGGCCACCGGAGCAGGGCTGGGCGCCTCAGGTGACCCCTCCTCCCTAGAGCTCAGTGGGTGACAAGGACCATAGACCCTCTCCCCAAGCCTGACCACATATTACACGGGTTTGCTTCTAGAAAAGTCTGACCAAAATATTTGGAGATGACAAGTACTCACTGGCCCGGAAGGAGGTGCTCACCAACATGTGCTCCCGGCCTATGCAGGTAAGGAGGGGCCTTTCCCCCACTGTCCCCCTTCTCCCAGGAGCACCCTTGACCTCTGCACATGTAGAGGACCTGAGGGGGGTGGGGACACCCCCAGGCGACACCTGGGCCAGGTGGGCCCTGGGCTGAGCCTGACCTCCACTGTGCCTGCTTCACCTGCTCAAGGACCCCTGGTCTGGGCGGGTTAGAAGTTCCGTTTGGGCCCGGCCACCCTCTGCATGGGCTCCAGCTCTGTCTCCCTGCAGAAGGCAGGGAGCTCCCACAGGGCGTGCACCAAACCTCAGTGCCCAATCCCCATAGGCCACACCAGGTTGGGGAAGGGAATGGGGGGTGGTCAACAACTGGGGGCCAGATGGAGATCCGGGAGGGGAGAGTATTTCCTGTAGCAGCCACACAGGGGAGAGGTCCTCAGCGCCCACTGTGCTCTGTAGGCCGGAGGTAGAGAACTCTCCATCTCACTGGCTGGGAGAAGAGGAGACGGGCCGTGGGCCGATGTCTGCAGGCAGGATGAGGGGCAGGCAGCCTGGGGGAGGGGATGGCTCGCTCCTGGCAGCCTCTTGGCCCTCCGAGGCTGAGCTTCAACCCCTGCCAGCCCGAGCACCTAGGGAAGGAGCCAGCCCGGTGGCCTGTCAGGCCAGCAGGAGCTGCGGCTGCAGCCTGGCTGGGGGCAGTGACAGACCCTTTCTCAGGGGCTCCACCGCTCAGCACGATTTATCCTTTTCACAAGAACCAGATCACCCCATTTGGCCATAGCTGGCTCTTTTCTGGCATCTTACAGCTCTACTGGGGCTGAAGCCATCAGGACCTGTTTGGACTGGCTGCCCTAACCCGGCCCCAGTCATTATTATGCCTTAAACCCCTCACAGGGAAGCTGGATGTGCTTGTGGCCACTGGGTTCAGCACTGCTCTGCCCCCCAACTGCCCCTAGGTCCCAAGAAATGCTCCCTGGCCAGGCCATGCAGGGCCAGTGGGTTCCCCATTCCCTGTTCCTAGAAGCCGTCGTCCCCCTCCAAGGTCAAACCAGCCCTGGAGCTCCATGGAAAGGAGCCTTTCCCAGAGTCACTCAGTGTCTGAAAAAGACTGGACTTCTCCTGGCCTTTCTTGCCAGTGACCTTGGAGGCCTGCCTTTGCCTTGGGATCTGATGGCAGGACAGAAACCAGGCAGGGATGGCAGCAGTGAGCATAAAAGTCTCAAGTGAACTGCTGGAACAGGACACCAGAGCTGTCCCAGGGAGGGCTGGTCCCTGTGGGAAAGCCATGGTCCCCCCCCCAGCCCACCCTGCCCAGAGACACCTTCTCCAGCCAGGAAGGGAGCCGGGGTCTTTGGCCCTCCCTCCTCACCCCAGCTCAAGTGGGGAGCTGGGCCTCCTCTGAGAATAAAGCCCAAACGTGGCTCAGGGTGGAGGCAGCTGCCACCTCCCCCTGTGCCTTGCCCCGACGTAACCGGGGGCCCTGCAGGAGCTGGAAGAGAAGCAGAGCTGGAGAGCCGGGTGGGTCACCACCAGCCACGGCCCCAGTTCCAGAGCCTCCGTACAACAGTAACGGGAGCCAGCCGTCTGCTTGGCTGAGCGAGTGCACCGAAGGGTGTGACTCTGGCTCGAGACACCAACCTGTTCATTGGCTTCCAGGCAGCAGTGTGTCCTCGATTCCCAGCCTGGGAGGGTGAGATGCAGGGCAGGCAGCTTCAGGGCCTGGGGCCAGGACTCCTAGCACCACAGGGCTGTTCCAGCCTGGGGCTCTTTGCTGGGCCCCTGGAGCAACTCCATGTCCCTTCCTGTACCACAGTTATAATCCCTGCCCTGTGGAAGGGTCTTTGGAACTCGGACCAGGATCTTGGCCTCAGGACAGGTTATCAGGGGCAAGCAGGGCAGAGGCTGGCAGGGTGGTGAGCCCCGGCTGTGGCCTGGCTAGGCTCTGAGACTGACTCCCCACACACACAGATGGCCCTGTACTTCTGCTCCGGGGTGCTGCGGGACGAGGTGCAGTTCCAGCACTACGCCCTCAACGTGCCGCTCTACACGCACTTCACCTCGCCCATCCGCCGCTTTGCCGACATCGTGGTGCACCGGCTCCTGGCTGCCTCACTTGGTAAGGGGATGCGCGGCTCAGGGGCACAGCCCCCAGGTAGGTAACCAGAGGCCTCACTGCTGGGACTGCGGAAGCTCCAAGGCACAGGCAGCCCCAGCAGCAGGGAGCCTGGGCCTGAACCTCACCCACGGTGAGCCCCTGTAGGGAAGCCACACAGGGCTCATTAAAAACCCAAACCTGACCAGTGTGGCTCAGTGGGTTGGACGTCTTCCCGCAAACCGAAAGGTCTCTGGTTTAATTCCCAGTCAGGGCACGTGCCTGGATTGCATTTCAGGTCCTTCGCACATTGTTTCTCTCCCTCTTTTTCTCCCCGGCTTCCCCTCTCTAAAAATAAATAAATAAAATCTAAAAAAGACCTGGCTGGAGTAGCTCAGTGGATCGAGCACGGGCCTGAGAACCAAACAACTGAGGTTCGATTCCCAGTCAGGGCACATGCCTGGATTGCAGGCCAGTTCCCAGCAGGGGACACACGAGAAGCAATCACACATTGATAGTTCTCTCCCTCTCTCTCCTCTTCCCCTCTCTCTAAAAATGAATAAATAAAATCTTAAAGAGAAAAAGAATTATTCTCTTTAAAAAATAAATAATAAATAGAAAAAAAAAAGAATGGCTGGGGTTCGAGGCCCTAGCCAGAGCAGCCCCACTGTTCTCAGCCTTGGGAGCGGGGCAGCAGGCGGCCTTCGTGCCGTGTGGGCTGTCCAGGCCCATCTTGCCTGGTTGGGGGCTCCGTGCTGCCCCTCACCCAGCCATGGCCAGTGCACACAGAGCACCCCCTTTCCAGGCCACAGCACACCGCCAGATGCAGAGCCTGGCGTTGTGCAGAAGCGAGCTGACCACTGCAATGACCGCCGCATGGCGTCCAAGCGTGTGCAGGAGCTCAGCACGGGCCTCTTCTTCGCCGTCCTGGTCAGGGTGAGGCTGCCACCCTGCGCCCCTTTCCCTTCCCTTCGCCCTACTTCCCCTCCTGGGCAGCTGCTCACACGGGGCCTGGGGGAGCTGGGGTGGACCCTAGGGGGAGGCCGTGTCCATGGCCGAGCCTTGGAGGGAGCCCTGCCCTGCAGGAGAGTGGCCCCCTGGAGTCGGAGGCCATGGTGCTGGGCGTCCTGAACCAAGCCTTCGACGTGCTGGTGCTGCGCTACGGGGTGCAGAAGCGCATCTACTGCAACGTGAGTATGCGGGGGGCCCCCAGCCAAGCTTAGGCACCTCTGGGCAGGTGACAGCCAGCTGTGGGGTGCAGAATTGTGTCAACTATGAAATGGGTGCCAGGGCCACAGGGTTCCCGTGCCCTCCCTGCTCCCAGGCTTCGAGCTGCATCCTCACACACACTTGCTTCCCCTCCTGTGCCCGTCCCCTCTGCAGTCCCCAGCATCTGGTGGGGTCCTGGCCCAGGGACCGCCCTCAGTGGGTGCACAGGCATGGAGGACAGTGGCACAGGCCGAGGACCCCGCTGTCCCTGTCCACTCTGGGGTATCCAAGCCGTACCCTTGCCTCGTGTAGGCTGTGTTGGCACAAGGTGGCAGAGGGTAGAGGCACCTTGACCTTGTCCCCCACCTCCACCCAGCACCAAGCCCACCCGTGGGCCTTGCCAGGACACCCAGCTGCACCTGTTGGGGTAGGGGATCCAGGCCAAGGGTCAGGCTTGGGCCTCTTCTACAAGGACCCAGGCAGCTAGAAGGCGGGTCCCTCTGTAACTAATGCAGGGTGGCAGGGCATGCAGGCTTTGCAAGATCGTTTTATAGGAGCGTGGAGGAAGGCAAAAGCAGGAAGAGTGGTCCATGGCCACTGTTGAACAGTCCCCTAAACAAAAGGAAAAGACCAGCCTTTGTCCTGGGTGGCTATTATTCCCGGTTCTTGGTGCCTACGCCCCCTCGCAGAGCTGTCTCAGCCGACCTCGTGGTTAGCAGGTCACCACCTGGCTCCCAGCCCTGGCTTTGAATTTCCCAACATCCAAAGCACATAGTATGGAATGAATATAATATCAACAAAATGGAGTAAAAACAGAAGAGACAGAATAGGGTCTAGCTGGAACTATCGGGGTCTTCCTCCTGAGGTCCTGAGGTCCTGATTTCCTTGAGCAGGACAGAAGTTCAGGTCTCGGTCATCTCCCAGACAGCCCAGCCCTCAGTGGGTGCTAACAGATCCAGCGCCAGCAGGGGGCAGCAGCCCTCCAGCCTCAGGTGCCTGCTCCCCCTTGGGCCCATGACCTGGTGAGCCAGGACAGACCCACCACTTCCCCCGAATGACAAACACAGCCAGGGGCCCAGCCCCTGGCCTCGTGCTGCCTCAGCCACAGATGGCCTGGCAGAGCCTCTGGGAAGCTGGCCAGAGGTGAGGATGGGGTGGTCTCCCCTGGACATTCAAGCAGCCAGCTGCGGGGCTGGGCATCAGGGCAGGGAGCTCCCTTGAGGCCAGTCAGAGGTGGGCCAAGTCAGGAGGCTGCTTCCCAGTGTCAGAGCTTTGCAAGGTCAAAGGTTAGGAGGTGGCAGCCAGAGCCCAGGGTCTGACACCCAGGTGTGTGCACCCCTAGGCCCTGCCCCTTCGGTCCCACCACTTCCAGAGGTTGGGCAAGAAGCCGGTGCTCACGCTTACCTGGGAGCCTGAGGACACGGAGCAGGAGCCGGTGCAGCAGGTCAGACCCCGGGGCCGGGGCAGCTTTCCCCGAGACCCGCTGAATCCCTGCCCACCCCTAGCTCTTGGGGAGCCCTCCTCCTGCCCCTGGGGCACACTCCCCTGGCCTCCCTGGCACTCAGGCTCTAGCTCACCCACTGCCCCCCACCCTGCTTACTGGCTCTGTCTTCCCTCCGTTGGGGACACCTACTGTGAGGAGAGGCAGGCTGGGGGGAGGCTCTGCCTCTCTCTTTAAAGCGGGTCCTTAACTTTTGGGGTCCTTTTGAGAGTCCGATGAAGGCCATGGGTCTCCTGCCTCCAGAAATGTATAAAACAGTTCTCACCCTCGATGTGCTCCAAAGGCCAGCCCAGGCCCCGTTTCTATCCCTGACGCTGCGTGTGTGGGGATGTGTACCAGGCCCATGACCCCGTGGCCTCGGTGCCTGAGTGGGCTCAGCTCCCATACCATCACCAGAGGCTTAAAGAGGCAGAGGGAGTGGTCTCAGGGCCCAGCTGGACAGATAGCGCCCGAAGGCCCCAGCCCCGCTTTCCTGTGGGCGCCCCTCGAGACCCGCCCACGTCACTGTGCGGCTCCGCTCGCCGTAGGTCATCACCATCTTCAGCCTGGTGGAGGTGGTGCTGCAGGCAGAGGCCACCGCCCTCAAGTACTGCGCCCTCCTCAAGCGCCCGGGCACTGGGGACCAGTTGGACCTGCAGGACGAGGAGGAGCGTGACTGTGATCGTGACCTTGAGAGGGAGGACTGAAGGCAGTGTCCCAGCACCCCACTTACCTCGAACCCCACCCACCGGCTTTCAGAAGAGGACCTTTTGGCACCAAAGGGGATTTTTAATTTGGTTTTTAATAACTCAGGGTTTTATTTTTATTTTTTTCATTCTATTTTATTTTTGCAGCTCAGTTTTTAAAGGACCTGGAGGGGAGAGGGTGGGGCTGGCCAAAGACTGAGGCCTGGCCAGTGCTCACTGCAGCAGAGTGGTGCCCGGTCCCCCCGGGAAGCCAGCCCTCGCTTCTGCCAGGCCTCCACTGCCTTCCCCTGCCCAGGAAACAGGCTTTTCAGCAAATCAGTGTCATGGAATAAAATCAGATGTGAAGGGCAGTCTGGTGTGTGAGGTGCTGCTGCTGGGAGACCAGGGCAGCGGCGGCCCCTTGGGCCTGGGACCAGAGATGTGGCTCAGGCTCCACCCCCACAGCTGAGCCGTGGTCACCGCCTTCTGGAAACCTCCTGCCAGTTCCAGGGTGATTCACAGAGCTGGCCACATGGCAGATTGATGATGAGAAGTGTAATTAGTATGCAAGGCGGCGAGCTCGTGCCCCCTGCTGCAGTGGCTGTGTCTGTCCCTGCCACACCACTTCCTCTCTGCCTGCCAGACCACTGGGCCCCAGGATGGGGCAGGGGTCCTGTGATACCCCTCCCTCTCTTTCAAGGCCATTGCCCGGGCCCCACCCCTTGTGCAGCCGGAACCTCAGAGCCTTCAGTCCTGATCCTGCACCCTTGCCACACCCAGGGAACATGGGGATGAAGCCAGCCCGGGCCTGCTGGATGTGAGAGGGGCCCTCACACTGGCCTTCTCAGCCAGGGGGGTAGGGGGAGAGGGGGCTCCTGGTGGCTCAGTCTGACCCAGTCACCTCTCTGGCATCCTGACCTCCACTGTCCCACTACCTCAGGGACGCAGGGACAGAGATGGTGGGGCTCTGGACAGCAACCCCTCAGCAGGCCTGACCTGCGCCTGCACCCCTTCCCCAACTAACTAGGGGACCGCAGGTTACAGGTTGGCTTCCCCAAGAGCTGTCAGAAACTAGCATGAAAACCAGGGTGACCAAGGGCTTGGGGCGTACCCCACTGTTTCTGGGGGGTTGGTGTTAACAGATACAAGTCCATCTGGTATAGTAATAGTTCTTTCTTTCTTTCTTTTTCTTTCTTTCTTTCTCTTTCTTTCTCTCTCTCTTTCTTTCTTTCTTCTTTTTAGGATTTTATTTTCAGAGAGAAGGGAAAGGGAGAATAAAGAGGAGACAAACATCACTGTATAGTTGCCTCTCACTCGCCCCCTACTGAGGACCTGGGCTGCAACCCAGGCCTGTGCCCTGACTGGGAATCAAACTAGCGACTCAATCTACTGAGCCACACCAGCCAGGCTATCGTGCACTTTCTCCAAAGAAAAATTCAACACACTACCTTGCAGGAGGACCTTGCACTAACTGGGCATGGCTGCTTTTATCTGTCACCAGCAGGCTGTGGTCCACTGTCCACTAAGCACTGGGCTAGGTGCCACAGGGGACAAAGGACACGTGACTGTGCCTCCTCCTGTTCCTCTAACACCTTAGTCAGCTTTCAGGCTGTCCATCCTGCCATTTCCAAGGTGTCCCCTTGCTTCTCCTGTGCCCAGAGCCTTCTAGAACCAAGTACCTGGGAGAGAAAAGATGAGCGTCTGGTGGTTTGGCATTCGGATGAGGGGGTTTCCGAGCTTTTGTATCTTGCAACCTGCCCTCCTGGAAAACAGACTGACGCCCTCCCAGTTCTAGTGAGGAGAGGCCCCATCAGAGAGACGGCGCGGCACAGACTGGCAGCTCAGACTGGCAGCTCCGGGGGCCGCACGGCTGGGAGGGAGGGGCAGGTCCCAGAGACAGGAGCTGCTGGGGAGACCACACAGATGCCAGACAGCTGACACGGTAGGGCACCGAAGTCACCAAGGAGGGCAGGCTCCCAGCAGCAGGCAGGGAGGAGACCCCTGGGGAGGGGTAGGAGGTAATGAAGGGCGGAGGCGGACTCCCAGGGGCAAGGCGTCTGGGTGCTCCCGTCCCGCTCTCCCCCCTCTCTCTCCCCCGCAAAGCAGTTCTTAAAAAACCTTCAAAAGGACGTCCTGCCACTTATGACAACACGGACCAACCAGAGGACACTGCCAAGTGACACGAGCCGAGCACAGAAAGACAAAGACCGTGTGTTCTCACTCGGGGCATCCAGTCTGAAATGAAAGCCGCAGAGCGGCGGCCCCCGGGGCAGGGGAGCAGCGGCAGAGTTTGGAGACTTGGGTCGGGGGTGCAGGTTTCAGTTAGGAAATGGGTAGTTCTGGGGGCCGCAGGTACAGCATGGAGGTATCGTTAACAGTACTGTTTTGTGCTTGAAATTTGCTAAGGGGGTAGATTTTTTAAGTTGGTTTTGAGAGAGAGAGACAGTGACTTGTTGTTCCACTCGTGTATGCCTTCACTGGTTGATTCCTGTATGTGCCCTGCCCAGGGATTGAACTCGCAGCCTGGGTGTGTTGGGACAATGCTCTGACCAGCCGAGCAACCCGGCCGGGGCTGGAGGGCGGATCTTACGTGTTCTTACCTCAGAGAGAGTGTGGTGACCCAGAGGCAGGCAACAGGTGTGCTGATGAGCTTGATCACGGCGATCATTTCGTGGTGTGTGCGCGTATCCAAACGTCCGTGCTTCTCCCCCTTTCTCCCTTCCCCTCTCTCTAAAAATAAAGTCTTTTGAAAAGCATCAAGTGTACATCCTAAATATGTGAGATTCCTAAATCAGTTAATTGAATAGAAACCATCTACATCCCCTGCCTTGAATCGGTCAGGCCGTGTGGCTGCCCTCCACAGAAATGTGCAAAGTGCCGATGGGCAGTTTTCCAGGCCCAGGGCTTAAAAATTGGCCACTTCTTCCTGTCTCGGTTGTCAGGAAGCCAGAGCCATCTGCAGAGACACCCACGTAGGGAGGAGCTGGTGGGACGGCCCCTTGGGGGCGCGCACCCCCACCCCCGGAGAGCGAACACCCTTCTGGCCCGACCCAAGCAGCAGGTCTGTGGCCCAGTCCGTCAGGGCCGCTGCTGTGGGAGGCGGGTGGGCGGTTCACTGCACAACGGCAGGTCCCCACACAGGGCTTCCAGCTGAAAACGGAACAAGCGTGTGATTCAGAAACTGGTAAATACACAAAAAGCCAAGAGAGGGAAGGTCCTGAGACAGGAAGACGGAGAAGGGGCCTGTTGTTTGTTCTGTTGTAACGAACGTGGATCTTTGATACTTGACATCTGTGTATAACTTAGATAAACATGAAAGCTAAAAAAGATTTTTTTTCATTAGCAAGAATGGATCTACACCGAGTTTGAAAGGCCTCTTGTACATTCAGCAACGGGTGCATCAAACTCCATTATTCCAGTAAATAAAATTTCTGCTGACAAGCGACCTGATATTCCCACTCAGTAAAAATGCTGCCTAAGGCTCTCGGCTAGAAGACTTGGGTAGTGGGGTAGTAGTCTTGGCCGTGACAAGCCCTGGTTGCCTCTGCGGGGCCCCTACGGGCTGCGTTCATTGCATCCGAGCCCAGACCAGGGGGTGCAGGGTTCAATAGCTAACAAGATTATGTGCTCTCTTGAGGGTTAATACCTTCTTCAAGAGGTATCACCTCTGGTCTTTCAAAGGTGCAGCTTAAAACCTTCCCCTAAAGAGTTACAGGCCTGGGCCATGACCACCCGCCATGACCTGCCCCCCGAGAATTCACAATTCACGGTCAAGTGGCTCTGGCAGGTCACTCTCCACAAAACCCTATTTCCACTCACAGCTGGCATCACGTTTTATTTATCCATCTGTTGACAGACACCGGGAGAGCTCCCCCTCTAGCCTTCAGTTCTGAATTCTGGACTAGTAATAAAGTAATAAAAACTGACACACAACTAGATTAACAGGGTGTTAACAAACATTCCAGAATGAATGAAGATAGGATTTGTACGTCAGGGGCTCCCAAGTGGAGGGACTGCCCTGACTGGCGTGCCTCCGTGGTTCAACGATGTCTCAAAAAGCGACCAATTTGATTCCGGATCAGGGCTCATGCCTGGGTTGCGGGTTTGGTCCCTGTTTGGGGCACCTGCAAAGTGCAAAAGTCGATGTTTCTCTCTCTCCCACCTCTTTTTTTAAAAAGGTACTTATTTAGAGGGCAAGGAGAAAGGGAGGGAGAGAAACTGTGTGGTTGCCTCCTGCACACCCCTAAGTGGGGACCCAGGATCGAACCAGTGACCCTTTGGTTCACAGGCCAGAGCTCAGTCTACTGAGCCACACCAGCCAGGGCCCCTCTCTCTAAAAACAAAACCTTCAAAGTCCAGGGGATAGAGGAAGTTTTCTGAAGGCAAAAGTACAGGAGCTGCCAATCAAAGAGATGAGTGACACAGGGAAGGACGCCCACCAGAGAATGACGCCATGGGTTCTCTGATAGGTGGGGCTACTGGGAAACGCAGCGGGCTGCCGCCGTGCGGGGGGCAGGGCTGTGGTGGAGAGCCACGGGTGGCACGCTCCGCGCTGGTCCAGGCCCTGGTTCGGATCCACTCTCGGAACAACTGCTTTGGGGTCTGCCAGCGGAAACCAGACAGCACAGGCAGACCGTCCTCCCGCAGGCAGATCGCAAGGCTTCTGAGTCAGGCCTGAGCAGCCTCAGAGTTCAAACTGCAAAAATCCAAATGCTTGGACACAAATTGTGACAAAGTTCTTGTAAGTGCTGAAAGAGGAAAACCAGTTTAATGCGTGCGCACGGGAGAATCAGTGTGACTGATGCTCTGACGGGAAGACGAGGTGCATAGAAGTGACCATGCCCGGCACCTCTGCGCAGGTTGTGGAGGAACACGCTGGGGAGAGACGGGACGCAGAGTCGCTGCTCGCTGGGAGGGCCCCGAGCAGGGCTTGGGCTCAGCACTAAGTCAGCAGTGGGGCTGAGACGGACGGGCCTGGCACCTTTCTCCCTGCGGCCCCTTCGGACTTGAGAGAAGGCTGTGTCTCAGCCCTTGGGCGCAGGGGGGCGCCCAGCATGGGGACAGTTCTGTCCTGCTCTTAGGGGTACAGCCGCTCCCTGTCTTCCTGGGCCACCGTGCTTGGAAACGATCGACAGTCTCTTGTGGGACGCTGGGATACCATGGGGCAGCCCACCTTGGCCCCGATACACTTTGGGCAGTTGCGGATAGTGCTGCTGTGCAAGCTGGGGTGTGGTTCCCGTCTCAGAGCCCCTGCCTTTGACGGGACACCCAGAGGACGGGACGAATGCTTCAGAACCCGGCCTGGCCTGGGGCTACTGTGAGCTCCTACCTCTCAGCTCCCTCCTGGGCTCCAAACCCCTGTCCAAGGGATCAGAGGTCAGGAGCATACAGAGCCCAGGGCCCCACGCCAGCCTGCCCGCGGGAGGCACACACGCACTATGAGGCAGGCCTGGCCCAGCCCCGGGTCGTTGGACACACAGACCAGGTCCTCACTCTGTTGTGCTGCACCAGGCTCTGGGCGCAGGCCCCTGAGCACCCCTCAGCCCGGCGCCTGTCCACCTGCTCAGGCCAACCTGTAAGAAGCCATGTGTGTGTCAGGGTGACACAAGGAAGCCACACCAGGCCCTCTGCCTGCACCCTATTGCACTCAGCACCCAGAACTGAGCCTGGACCAAATCTGGTGGCAGGAAATACTGAACAAATCAAGTGAATGAAGGAGAGAGGTCCCCCAGGACAGTGGAAGCAGTGGGTGGAGGTGGCCTCACGGGACTCGCCAAATGCTCCACACCCAGAGAGTTTCTGCCTCTCACTCCCACCCTACCCTGGGGAGACACCTGGGGCCTGTTCTGTGCAAATGATCCTGCTGGCTCAGAACCCCTGCCTCAGGGTCCAGTCACACCCTGCTAAATCCCTTCTACCACCCAGCAACAGGCTAACTAGAGTGGCTGCCTGGGGCATGGGAGGGACAACTGAGCCTTTTAACGGCAGTGGTGAAGTCCTCCTTGACCTAAGCCCCAGCAGCTCTCACTCCTGCTGGTCCCCTGGTGTCTCAGCCTTACCCAAGTCCCAGCCTCACCAGGGTCCCAGCGCCTCTGGAGTCCCGGCACCCCCACCTTCCCACCACCCCACAGCCATGCAGGGCGCCTGGGTGCTGCTGCTGCTGGGCCTGAGGCTACAGTTCTCCCTCGGCGTCATCCCAGGTAACAGGGACCTCCCTGCCGGTACCCACACGCTGGGCACTCCCCTGAGGCTGACCTGGCCCCCTGTCCCCTTGGCCAGCTGAGGAGGAAGACCCAGCCTTCTGGAACCGCCAGGCAGCCGAGACCCTGGATGCCGCCCAAAAGCTGCAGCCCATCCAGACAACAGCCAAGAACCTCATTCTCTTCTTAGGGGACGGTGAGTGTGCATGGCCACCCATCCCCCAAAGCCAGGCCCCCAAGCCCACCTCTGCCCACTGCCACCCCCGGGGACTCAGGCCTGACAGCGTCTATTCCTTTAGGGATGGGGATGCCCACAGTGACAGCTGCTCGGATCCTCAAGGGACAGATGAATGGCAAGCTGGGACCCGAGACCCCCCTGGCCATGGACCAGTTCCCATACACGGCTCTGGCCAAGGTAAGGGCTGGGGGCCTCAGGCTGCCCCACACCACAGGGTGAGGTGGCCTTGGGCTCTGGCAGGAGGGAAGGCCCCAGGAGGGAGGAGGCCTGAGGTAGGGGCTCGGACCTGGTCACGATCTGGGCACCTGTCCCAGAGTGGAGCCGAGGGTGTCTCTGTCCCCAGACATACAATGTGGACAGACAAGTGCCAGACAGCGCAGGCACGGCCACGGCCTACCTGTGCGGGGTCAAGGCCAACTACCAGACCATTGGTGTGAGTGCGGCAGCCCGGTATAACCAGTGCAACACAACAGGCGGCAATGAGGTCAGCTCTGTGCTGCAACGGGCCAAGAACGCAGGTGCGCTTGGGGCTGCAGAGTGGGCAGGGGTCGGGCTCAGAGACCTGGGGGCTCACCCCGCCCTCTGCCACCCTCAGGGAAGTCAGTGGGCGTAGTGACCACGACCAGGGTGCAGCACGCCTCCCCAGCCGGCACCTACGCACACGTGGTGAACCGTGAGTGGTACTCGGATGCGGACATGCCCCCCGAGGCTCTGGAGGAGGGCTGCCAGGACATCGCCGCGCAGCTCCTCTCCAACGTGGACATCGACGTGAGTCAGGAGGGGTGGCAGGGACCTGGGCAGGGGTAAGGGACCCAGACAGGCCACGGTCCCAGGCAACCCGTAGCCTGGCCTGGTCTCAGGACACTTGGGATGGTGCAGAGGTACAGCGCAGCAGGGTCATCGCCACAGAGCAGGCAGGGGACCCAGGGGTTGTCGGATCAGGGCAAAGGGCCTGCCAGCCCCGAGCTCACCTGCCCTGATCCTCGGGCTCCAGGTGGTCCTGGGTGGAGGCCGCAAGTACATGTTTCCCAACGGGACCCCTGACCCCGAGTACCCTGGAGAGGCGGCGCAGAGCGGGGTCAGGCTGGACAAGAGGAACCTGGTTCAGGAATGGCAGGCCATGCACCAGGTGAGGGGCCCATGGGTGCAGGGGGCGGGCAGGGACAAGGGCAGGCCGAGGGTCCCGGGGCTGGGGACTCAAGCCTGGGCCTGTCCCTCCCAGGCTGGCCAGTATGTGTGGAACCGGACGGCGCTCATCCAGGCTTCCCAGGACGCCTCCGTGACTCACCTCATGGGTGCTGCCCCCACCCCTACCGCCACCCCCAGCGCCCTGCCCTGGGCCCCCGGGGCCTGGGCTGGCAGAGCCCGTGTGCTGGGATGTGTGCAGGGCCCCCACCCCACAGTGGTCGGTCACCCAGCCCCCTGTCCCCACAGGCCTCTTTGAGCCAGGGGACATGACGTACGAGGTCTACCGAGACTCTGTGCAGGACCCGAGCCTGACGGAGATGACGGAGGCGGCCTTGCGCGTGCTGAGCAGGAACCCCCGCGGCTTCTACCTCTTCGTGGAGGGTGGGTGGGTGGGCGGCAGCCCTGGCCGAGCAGGGTGGGGAGGGGACTCGGGGCAGGTTCCCCATCACCCACTCCCCCATGGTCTCTCTGCAGGGGGTCGCATCGACCATGGTCACCATGCAGGCAGAGCTTATCTGGCACTCAATGAGGCCGTCAGTTTTGATGACGCCATCAGCAAGGCCGGCCAGCTCACAAGCGAGAAGGACACACTGACCCTCGTCACTGCTGACCACTCTCACGTCTTCACTTTTGGTGGCTATACTCTGCGTGGCAGCTCCATTTTCGGTAGGCTCAGGGCCAGTGCCAGGTGCTGTCTCCCAATTTCAGTGGCACAAGATGCACTGGGCCTCAGCTGGCTCTTTTGTCAAGCGGGGTCAGGATAGCAATGACCTTTCAGGGTTCTTGGGTGGATGAGGCCACTGCATAGGCACGCAGTGCCGGGCTTAGCCCATAGGGGGCGCTGCAGGGCTGCGGCGGCGCCATCCCAGGCCCCTCCTCCCCCCAGGTCTGGCTCCTTCCAGGGCCGCAGACGGCAAGAGCTACACCTCCATCCTTTATGGCAATGGCCCCGGCTTCGCCCTCAGCGAGGGCCTCCGGCCCAACGTCAGCGACAGCGAGAGTGGTGAGTGCGCCGTGTGGGGTGGGGAACTCCCGGAGGGGGCTGCCCGTCCGCAGGTCCTGAACCTTCATCGTCTGTCCAGGGGACCCCGAGTACAAGCAGCAGGCGGCCGTGCCCCTGACGTCCGAGACCCACGGGGGCGAGGACGTGGCGGTGTTCGCGCGCGGCCCGCAGGCGCACCTGGTGCGCGGCGTGCGGGAGCAGCACTTCGTGGCGCACATCATGGCCTTCGCCGCCTGCCTGGAGCCCTACACGGCCTGCGGCCTGAGCGGTGCGGCGGGCCCCGGGCTGTCTGGCGGCCCGTCGCTGGTCCTGCTGGCTGGGGCGCTGCTGCGGCTGCTGCTGGGGACCGTGTTGCCCTGAATGCTTCTGGCCTCCACCAGGACCCCCGGACACCCGTCCCAGATGCCCTACTCCAGTACTGGGTCACTTCCCACTAGTACTGGGTCCCCCCCAACACCCACTGAAAGTCTCCAGCCCCAGACCTCAGCGTCTTGACCTTCCCCTGCTGGCAATAAATGAGCTCAGCGCTACCCCCTCCTACATCCCACCTCGGGAAGTGGCCAGATGTGGGGCATCCATGAGGTGGCTTTCCTGAAGCAGGGAGGATCTCCTGGGCTGCTCTGGACTCCAGCCCCCAACCGTGGCTGCCCAGGAAAGCCTCCTAGCACCTTGGGACCTGAGGCCTCTGGCACATGGGTGGGGTGGGGGGCTCTCTGTGGTCCTGCAACTGGTCCTGTGTGAGCCTCTGGCCCAGGAAGCTGCTGTGGCTACTGCCTTTGAGATGTTGACATAAAGCCCAGGTCTGCCCCTTCGATGCGCCCGGCGGTACCATTACACAGAGCAGATGGGGGCACAGGACGGAGAAGAGGCTTGTCCCCAGTCAGTGGGCTACTGAGAGAGAACCAAGGAACCACGGGGAAGCCGAGGGGCAGATGGGGGGCCCAGAGCGGCCCTCGGCCCCACCCTGAGGGCATCTGCGCACTGAGCAGGTCAGTGAAGGGGAGATTCCCTGTCTGCCCAGGGCCTCTGTTCTGGGAGGATTAAAGGAATAACCAAACAGTTACACAATGTAACCTCGGTGCAGGTATGTTCTACAAAGAGAAAACATTAGCGTGTGCAGACACAGAGTGTATGTATGAGGGGTGGGAAAGGTGACTGGGACCCCGGGGTCATGGAGGGGCTCCTGGAAGAGCAGACAGATGTGTCGAGAAAGAAGGGAAGAGGCTGGAGCCACGCTGGCTGAGGCCCTGAGACAGCCAGTGGTTTTTGAGGCCAAGAGCTCAAAGTTGGGGGTTGCCTGGGCGGGGAAAAAGGGGTCAGGAGGGATGGGGGAGCAGCTGGAGCTTCACCCTGAGCAGGACTCCTGGTCAGGAGGCCTTGAGCTCGGGCACAGCAGGACCTGACTCCGAAAACATCACCTGGCCACTGTGGGGGGAGGAGTCAGTTCTGTTCCGCCGTCTCACTGCTGGAGGGAGGAGACAGGAACCAAGGGCAGGTGCAGACGCCGAGCCTGTCTCACCTCCCCCCGGCCATGGAGGCCAGCATCCCACAGCACCTGCTCCCGTGTGGCTGCCCTCCCTGAGCATCTAACCCACCCAAAGGCAACATTTAAAAGAATTCCAGAAGGGGGCCGCCAGCCATGGTTTCCACTGCCTTCTAACAGAATTACAGATCCACGCCTTCATCCATGAAGGTGCGGGAAGTGACCTTGCTCTCAGGGGACAGGCTGGTAGGACTGAGCCTGCCTCCTCTTTGACTGGCGTCTCAACTGAAGGGCAAACGTCACCTTGAAGGCCTGGCCCTCAGGGCAGCGGACTCCAAGCCTGGGTTTCAGGGGCTGTCACGGAAATGTGGGTGCATGGTGGAAGGAGGGCATCGTCAACCAGGCTCGCTGAGTCGCCACCCTGGCAACTCCGGCACCAACCGCAAAGTCCCGAGTTGGAACACAGCTGTTATTTCTGTTCCCTCGGGGTCAGTCCATTGGCCTTACCGACCGGTGGGAGGTGCCACGTGTGTGGTCCGCGGGTGAACCCAAAACCAACGGTAACCCTACATTTTAAAACTGCACAGGTTTTAGAAACATTTAGAGTTAGTGGTGATGGTCACATAACTTCAAACATTCTAAAAAACACTTAACTGCACAATTTAAAAGGCGAATTTTATAGTGAGTAAATTGTACTAAAATGTTGTTTATTTTTATTGATTTTTTTAGAGGAGAGAAAGAGAAACATCGATTTATTTCACTTACTGATGCATTCATTGGTTCTTGTACGTGCCCTGACTAGAGATCGAACCCACAACCTTGGCTTATCCGGATGACCCTGTAACCAACTGAGCAACCCAGTCAGTTTATCTTGATTTTATAATATAGTTTCTGCTTCCAAAGTTTTTTAAATGTGATGGTTCGACAGGGTTTTTTGTCAAATACATTGTTGATCACAAGGTCACGTGTCCATGGAATGATTCCTAACATCTGTCTGGTCATTTTTGCCTCGACGGGGCGGACCACAGGAAGCGCGTTAACTTTTTCTTTAGGTGCCCGAGACGGACAGGGAGATCTCGTCACCTCAGGACGCGTCAGCACATCAGTCTTGAGACGGGAAGGTTAGTAAGAGCAAGGAAAACTCACGACAGCCCTGGTTCTTGGTCATCTGGAAAGTGTCCGTGGTCACAGACGTCCTTGTAACTGTGGGCAGGACCCCTCACAGGCTGGGCCCTGCCCCCTCGACCCCCACCGACACTGCTCAGTAGGAGGATCCTGGGACCCCTCACGTGAGCCAGCAGTTCCCCCTTGTGGTCATAAGTCAGTCCAAAGGGTGTGTTAATGACCAGCCTTTTGGTCCGACAGTGAGGTCTCAGCACCAGGACGTCTCATTCCTAGGAAGTCTCAGTATCGACATCCTCCTGTTGACCTTTGGGGAAGGGGCAGTCCTGTCACCGCGGCATGTGAGTCCAGCCAAGTTTTCCCGAAAAGGGCGGGGCAGGTAAACGGAAGGCAGTCAGGTCGGGTGGCCGTCGTTGTGAACACCACCCGCATCATCCCCATCCTGTGACCTCCCGTGGTCCTAGTTTGGCTGGCTTTCTTGTTTTTCCATATTTCCATGTAGAGTAGCAGTTACATAAGCCATAAAGAGTATTAGCTGTTATCTGATACATGCTCAGCCGTCATAAACAGTTGGACTGTATAGAAAAACCCGAAGGGCAAGTGTAACTGTTACTATGGCTAATATCGTTGGCAGACAGGTGAAGACAATCAAACAAAACAGTTTCTGAGTTCGACATCAACCTGTAGGTACACAGGCCTCGTCAGTGTCTCGGGACAGCTGTTCACCTCTGATGCCAACAGCCCCTCATCCTAGAGGAGTCTCTGATGTCCTTTGTAGGTGCAGGTGAGCGAGTGTCAGAGGTGGGCAGATGTCTGCTTGGTTAAGCACATTTTTTAGATGAGAAATGTGAACTCATGAGTTAACCCCATTAAGTTTAGTTGCACACAAGAAACAAACAAACAAAACCCCACTGGCACCTGGAGCAGGCAGCCATCACTGCCAGCTGCGGCCCGTCCCCATGAGGCTGGGGAGGGCCTTCCTTGGGAGTCTGTGCGGACAGACGAGTCTCCCGGCTGTGTGCTGCGGTCTCCAAAGTCTTTTTCCTGGGAGCGCAGTGTGAAATGAATCATGTGCTAATTTGTTGGGAACCACCTGCCTGGTTTCAGGAGCTGTAAACCCCCCATGGATAAGGCTGAGTGAGCGACCTTTGGACTCTGAGCCACTGAGGAGATGGGGCTTGTCTCCCTGGCAGCAGCGCTGCTTCTGCTTCATCCTCTGCCCCCATCATGTGGTCAGTCAGTCAATGACGGGTAAGACCCCTGGGGGGGGCAACCTAAGCCAGACACCATCACCTGGGAGGACCTCAAGGAAGGACTCGGGGGAGCTGCAGCAAAGAGGGGGTGATGGACCCTTGCCCCCTGGCTATTCTGACATAGCCTGAGTCCCCATTTCCATCTGGGAGAAGCGCCTTCTGAGCTGCAGCAAAGAGGAGGTGATGGACCCTTGCCCCCTGGCTATTCTGACATAGCCTGAGTCCCCATTTCCATCTGGGAGAAGCGCCTTCTGGCTCTAATCTGCTTAAGCCTAAAAGCCTATTACGGGGAAGGCAGAGCATCTCTTTGCTGGCTACAGTGGGTTCCAGGGTGATTGGGCATAAGAAAGAGTTTCTAAAGTCCTGTGAAGCCTGCTTTGCTGAGTGCTTTCATTCATATGATAAGGGTTCGAGCAGGATATGAGTATGTCTCCCAAAGTTTTTGCAACCCCCTTACCTGACAGACACTGACTCAGATTAAGCCCTGAGATTTCTTTGAAATGTTATCTATTGTTTGATCCTTGCTGCCTGACATTGATTGATGAGCTTTACCTGTATTCCTGTGTGTTATGAACCTAATAAAAGCCGTTGAGGAAGGGGCTCTTGGCCCTTCTCCTTTGAGAGATTGACCACCTCTCCTCCCCAGGCAGATCATGTCTTGGTAGTTTTATTTTCATCCGTGGCGGACGGGGGGACTTGAATGCAAAGTTTCCCCCACACTAATTAATCAGTTTCTTTCAATGGAATCTTATATTGATTTATCAAGGAGCAAAGAACGTTCCTCGGTCCAGATCATTTGATTACTTACCTCTGCCTAATAAGTTGCAGCATCAGCTAAATGGTTTCTTTTTCCTTCCAGGGTGGTAGCTGCAGAATGTCCTAGAGTTTTGAATATTTCCCATTGTCTTGGGCGCTGTGTGCCCCTGTTCTGCGTTCTTTACAGACTGCCATGAGAAGTGCGGGAGCCCCGGCTTCTGAAGGCACGGCGGCTGTCGGTGTAACTGTTGGCCGTTTGATCTTTGGCCAATTGACAAGCCTGAGTTAGAGCAATTCATTTGGCTTGTTGATCTCATTTCAAGTAAACAAGAACGTTTAAGTACATCCGCCGGGAAGTTACTGCATACCCAGCTGAGTTAGTCCCTGTTTGTCTTTGAGACAAGAGTCATCTGTACACCAAAAATAAGTCAGCATTATCAATGAGCATTTTCTTTTTCTTTTTTAAAATTATTTTATTGTTGTTCAATTACAGTTGTCTGCGTTTACCCCACCACCATGCCCCCGCACCCCAGCCATCCCTACCTCCCTCCCCTGCTTCCATACCCCTCTTTGGTTTTGTCCATGTGTCCTTTATAGTTGTTCCTGAAAACCCTTCCCCCTCACCCCCCACTGATATCCTGTTACTGTCAGATTGTTCTTAATTCAACAGGTATTTCCTATAAATAATTCCTAGGAGCACGGTAGTCAGACTTCCAGTCAAGATGGAGGCGTAGGTAGACACACTTCACCTTCTCGAGCAACCACAGAGAGAAGTACAACTAAATGTCAAAAGAAATAACACCCAGAATTGTCAGAAAATCAAGCTGTATGGCAGTGTGACCACCAAGGGTGTAAAGAAGCCATGTTCACCCAGACAGGGAGGAGGGGCAGAGGTGGGGACATGGGGGAATGTATGGTCCCACACTCACGTGTGGTGGGTAATAATCAGGAGGGACGTTTTGGGAGCGATCCCGGCCCAGGCCAGATGCACAGCCCAGGGTCCCAGCACTGGACACATAAATCCTCAAAACTTCTGCCTGTAAAACCCAGTGGGGGTTGGGGCGGCAGAAGAAACTGTCACATCTTCAGGACAGTCCATCTGAGGGGCACACACAGACTTAGAACATACGCAAACCCACCCGCTCTGGGAATCTCCACCAGGACAACAGCCGGAAAGGTGCCGGTAGTGTACAGGGAGTGGGTGAAGTGACTGGAAATGGGGTGAGTGCCAGGGAAACCTCCAGAGGCCAGGCGGTGGCATTGTCCTTTCCCTGAGTCCTCCCCACACACAGAGCCATAAAGTGCCAAAGCGAGTTGCCCCACCCTGGTGATTACCCAAGGCTCCGCCCCACACAATTTACAGGTGCCTCTTCTAAGACGGAGTCAAAGCAGCCCTACCTAATACACAGACACAGACACAGGAGGCCGCTGAATTGAGGAGACAAAGAAATATGGCCCAAATTATAGAACAGAACAAAACCCCAGAAAAAGAACTAAACGAAATGGAGATAACCAACCTGTCAGATGCAGAGTTCAAAACACTGGTGATCAGGGTGTTCCAGGAACTCACTGAGTACGGCAACAACACAAGAGAAGAAATGAAGGTTACACTAAGTGAAAGAAAAATCTACAGGGAACCAACAGTGCAGAGGATGAGGCCAAGAATCAAATCAACAATTTGGAACACAAAGAAGGAAAAAGCATTCAACAGAACAGCAGGAATAAAAAAGAATTCAAGAAAACGAGGATTCAAGAAAGCTGAGGAAGCTATGGGACAACTTTAAATGTTCCAACATCTGAGTCATAAGGGATGCCAGAAGAATAGGAAGAGCAAGAAATTGAAAACTCATTTAAAAAAATAATGAAAGAAAACTTCCCTAATTTGGTGAAGGAAATAGACATACAAGTCCAGGAAGCATAGAGTCCCAAACAAGTTGGACCCAAAGAGGAGCACACCAGGACACATCATAATAAAAATGCTAAAGGTTAAAAGTAAAAAGAGAATCCTAAAAGCAGTAAGAGGAAAGCAAAGAGTTACTTACAAAGGACTTCCAATCAGACTATCAGCTGATTTCTGAAAAGAAACCTTACAGGCAAGAAGGGACTGGCAAGAAGTATTCAAAGTGATGAGAAGCAAGGACTTACAACCTAGATCACTGTATCCAGCAAAGCTATCATTTAGAATGGAAGGGCAGATAAGGTCAAGTTAAAGGAGTTCATTATCTCGAAGCCCTTATTATATGCAATGTTAAAGGGACTTATCTAAGAAAAAGAAGATCAAAACTATGAACATTAAAATGGCAACGAATTCACAACTATCAAAAACTGAAAAAAAAAAAAAAGAAAAAGAAAATTTTAAAAGAAAAAACTAAGCAAGCAACCAGAACAGGAACAGAATCATAGATGTGGAAATCACTTGGAGGGTTATCGGCTGGGAGGGGGAAGGAGGAGAATGTGGGAAAAGGTGCAGGGATTAAGAAGCATAATTGGCAGGTACAAAATAGGGGGAGGTTAAGAATGATATAGGAAATGTAGAAGCCAAAGACCTTATGTGTGACCCATGGACATGAACTAAGGGGAGGATCGGCTGCTGGAAGGAAGGGGATGTACCAGGCAGAGGGGGCAGTGGAGGAAAAAATTGGGACAACTGTAATAGCGTAATTAGCAAAATATATTTAACAATAAAAGAAAGTGGTCAGCAAGTAGAATGCAACCAGGGGTGTTTTCATTCATCCTGTAGAGAAGGTGGTAAAGTTGCTGGGTTAAGATTTACATTGAGTAAAAGTAGCATTGGGTGCCCTGGCTGATGTAGCTCAGTAGACTGAGCGAGGGCTACAAACCAAAGTGTCTCAGGTTTGATTCCCAGTCAGGGCACATGCCTGGGTTGCAGGCCAGGTGCCCAGTAGAGGGCATGAGAGAGGCAACCACACATTGATATTTCATCTCCCTCTCTCTGAAAATAAATAAATAATATTTTAAAGAAACCCAGCATTAGATGTAGAAAACAGGAGTACTTCATAAAAAGCCAGTCGAGTAATGTTGAGTGTGGTGAGAGTTTAGCAGAAAATGGACAGAACGAGGAACATAAGTGATTAAATGTCTGTTTGTGTAATGTGGCTGGAACAGAGGTGGCCCTCGTGCAGGGAGGGAACCCTTCTGGCTGCGGGGCTCTAACGCCCCCTCGCACCGGGGTGGCCTCCACGGGCCTGAGTCAGGGCTCCTCCGGTGATTCCTGTCTTTTCCTGTAGAAGAGGGAAGAAAGGAAATTTGTAATTGGGGTGTCCCCAAATGGGCGCTTCAGCTCATTTTTCGCCTGGCAGGGGTGTCCAACCTTTTGGCATCTCTTGGCCACACGGGAAGAAGGGTTGTGTTGGGCCACAAATTAAATACATCGTGACACGTAATTACAAAAAAATATATATCTCAGGTTTGAAGTAAATGCACGATTTTGTGTCGGGCCCCATTCACAGCTGTCCTGGGCCCCAGGTGGCCCGCAGGCCCCAGGTTGGACACCCCTGCGAGTTCCCGCACCTTGTTTGCCTTCGAGGTTCCTCTGGAAGGGACCCAGTTAACGTGACTGTGATAAGACACATAGAGGTTGGTGTCCGGATGTCCCCACGGAGCCCTGAGCTGCGACTCAGGTCTTGGAAGAGAAAAGGATGCGATCCCTCCTAGCCCTTTGGAGTCAATCAGTAGCCTATCTTTAGATGCGAGTTGGCCAAGGTACTTCACTTGCAGCAAACAGGATGGAAGCTTGTCTTTTAGGACCTTCTGTCCTTTGTGGCGGCTGTAGTAAATAAACTGTGTCCTTCCGGGAGTCTCGTTGTGTCCTAGGGAATCATCCGCATGGTGCATTACAGTGAAATCTCTGGGAAAATTCCACATCATTTAAATCAGCCTTTAGCATTGGAGAGAAATGGGTGGGTGGGACTCTCCCTATATCTCTGGGCATCACAGTCTAAGTCAATTCGAGATTTTCCCAGTGGTGGCAGAGAACTACTGACAGTCTTTCCCCACAGAGATGCTGAAAGAGGCACTGTGAAGACCCCGGGGAAAACATTGGTAATTCAAGCAGTGGCTGATAACAGGGTATGTGGATTTGGAGACACAGGATGTCTGTGAACCACTTCTATTTATAACTCTGAGATTCTGTACAAATCTCCATTCTTTTCCATTAGGTTTCTTTTATTGATTGATTGATTGATTGATTGATTTTATATATTTATTTTTAGAAAGAGGGGAGGGAGAGAAACATCGATGTATGAGAGAAACATCAATTGGTTGCCTCTCACACGTCCCTAACTAGGGACCTGGCCCACAACCCAGGCATGTGCCCTGACTAGGAATCAACCAGCGATCTTTTGGTTCACAGGCCGGCCTCAATCCACTGAGCCACACCAGCCAGGGCTCCATCAGGTTTCTTTATTGGAAAGATGGGAGAATTACAGGGGCTCCTACTTGGAATTACAAACCCCTTTTAAAGTAATCTCATGAGAATGTGGAACTTCCGCCAAGATGGAGGCATAGGTGGATGTGCCGTGCCTTCTCACACAACCAAGTTTAGAGACAACTAAATATTAGCAACAGAAAACACAGCCAGAACACGGAAAATTAAACTTTTCGGAAGTCCGTTAACAACAAATTCTTCAGCCTGACCGGTAAGGGGCGAAACCAGCGGCTGGTGAGGGGTTGCACAGGAGGACTCGGTCAGACGGACTCAGGCGCGGAATCCAGGCGCAGGGTTGGACCTAGTGAGCGACCGAGCCAGCCACCAGGCGAGCCACCGCGGGGGAGACAGCGGGGGAGCGGTGCTGCTCAAGCAGAACTTGAGCTAAACAAGGGGACATCTGGAGGCAAGATTTCAACGGGCTGAAAAGAAATGCTTCGCAGAGGAGCAGTGCACAACTTCTTTTATGCCCTTGGTCATAAGGAGGAAAACACCAGGAAGATAAGCGGGGGGGGGGGGGGGGCGAGGCAGGGAGTGGTTGCCGGAGGGCTAACAAGGTGACGCGCTCTCTGGAGGGTGGCTTTTCTTCTCAGGGGTCTGGAACGACACGTTTCAGAGGTGAGTTCACTTAGATGCACAGAAACAATTGGCAGGACTTGGTTGAGGCAAAGATAAACCTTGTGCTAAGGAAGTGAATGCTCACCAGGAACTGCCGGGTCATGGATTTATGACAAGGCCTCCCTGTGAGGTTACTGTACCCTGATTGGTCCACACGCACCCCTCCTGCTGTACCCAAGGGGCTCAAAGAGAACACGGAACACAATGAGGTGGTTGAAGGAAAACAGGACCCCAGACTGCGGGAGCAGTGGGTCGGGGTGGCCCGTCAGGCCTCTGCACGTGCTTCTCACCCAGAGGGCTTCTGCCCCTGTCCCCAGTATACTCTGGGAGACCCCTGTGGCCTGCAGTCTTCAGGATGGCCCCACTGGCTCAGGAAATGTACCAGGACACTTAGTCACACCCTGCCACTGCCCTTTTGCCAGCAGGACAGGGGTGGGGTGGGAGTGGCCGCCTGGGGCACTGGGAGGGACACTGAATCTTTTACAACCAGGGATAAAGTCCTCCCTGATGAAAGCCCTGACAGCTCTCACCCCTGCTTGTCCCCTGGTGTCTCAGCCTTACCCAAGTCCCAGCCTCACCAGGGTCCCAGCGCCTCTGGAGTCCCGGCACCCCCACCTTCCCACCACCCCACAGCCATGCAGGGCGCCTGGGTGCTGCTGCTGCTGGGCCTGAGGCTACAGTTCTCCCTCGGCGTCATCCCAGGTAACAGGGACCTCCCTGCCGGTACCCACACGCTGGGCACTCCCCCGAGGCTGACCTGGCCCCCTGTCCCCTTGGCCAGCTGAGGAGGAAGACCCAGCCTTCTGGAACCGCCAGGCAGCCGAGACCCTGGATGCCGCCCAAAAGCTGCAGCCCATCCAGACAAGAGCCAAGAACCTCATTCTCTTCTTAGGGGACGGTGAGTGTGCATGGCCACCCATCCCCCAAAGCCAGGCCCCCAAGCCCACCTCTGCCCACTGCCACCCCCGGGGACTCAGGCCTACAGCGTCTATTCCTTTAGGGATGGGGATGCCCACAGTGACAGCTGCTCGGATCCTCAAGGGACAGATGAATGGCAAGCTGGGACCCGAGACCCCCCTGGCCATGGACCAGTTCCCATACACGGCTCTGGCCAAGGTAAGGGCTGGGGGCCTCAGGCTGCCCCACACCACAGGGTGAGGTGGCCTTGGGCTCTGGCAGGAGGGAAGGCCCCAGGAGGGAGGAGGCCTGAGGTAGGGGCTCAGGGCCTGGTCACCATCTGGGCATCTGTCCCAGAGTGGAGCCGAGGGTGTCTCTGTCCCCAGACATACAATGTGGACAGACAAGTGCCAGACAGCGCAGGCACGGCCACGGCCTACCTGTGCGGGGTCAAGGCCAACTACCAGACCATTGGTGTGAGTGCGGCAGCCCGGTATAACCAGTGCAACACAACAGGCGGCAATGAGGTCAGCTCTGTGCTGCAACGGGCCAAGAACGCAGGTGCGCTTGGGGCTGCAGAGTGGGCAGGGGTTATACCGGGCTCAGAGACCTGGTGGCTCACCCTGCCCTCTGCCACCCTCAGGGAAGTCAGTGGGCGTAGTGACCACGACCAGGGTGCAGCACGCCTCCCCAGCCGGCACCTACGCACACGTGGTGAACCGTGAGTGGTACTCGGATGCGGACATGCCCCCCGAGGCTCTGGAGGAGGGCTGCCAGGACATCGCCGCGCAGCTCCTCTCCAACGTGGACATCAACGTGAGTCAGGAGGGGCGGTGGGGACCTGGGCAGGGGTAAGGGACCCAGACAGGCCACGGTCCCAGGCAACCCATAGCCTGGCCTGGTCTCAGGACACTTGGGATGGTGCAGAGGTACAGCGCAGCAGGGTCATTGCCACAGAGCAGGCAGGGGACCCAGGGGTTGTCGGATCAGGGCAAAGGGCCTGCCAGCCTCGAGCTCACCTGCCCTGATCCTCGGGCTCCAGGTGGTCCTGGGTGGAGGCCGCAAGTACATGTTTCCCAACGGGACCCCTGACCCCGAGTACCCTGGAGAGGCGGCGCAGAGCGGGGTCAGGCTGGACAAGAGGAACCTGGTTCAGGAATGGCAGGCCAAGTACCAGGTGAGGGGCCCATGGGTGCAGGGGGCGGGCAGGGACAAGGGCAGGCCGAGGGTCCCGGGGCTGGGGACTCAAGCCTGGGCCTGTCCCTCCCAGGCTGGCCAGTATGTGTGGAACCGGACGGCGCTCATCCAGGCTTCCCAGGACGCCTCCGTGACTCACCTCATGGGTGCTGCCCCCACCCCTACCGCCACCCCCAGCGCCCCTGCCCTGGGCCCCCGGGGCCTGGGCTGGCAGAGCCCGTGTGCTGGGATGTGTGCAGGGCCCCCACCCCACAGTGGTCGGTCACCCAGCCCCCTGTCCCCACAGGCCTCTTTGAGCCAGGGGACATGACGTACGAGGTCTACCGAGACTCTGTGCAGGACCCGAGCCTGACGGAGATGACGGAGGCGGCCTTGCGCGTGCTGAGCAGGAACCCCCGCGGCTTCTACCTCTTCGTGGAGGGTGGGTGGGCGGCAGCCCTGGCTGAGCAGGGCGGGGAGGGGACTCGGGGCAGGTTCCCCATCACCCACTCCCCCATGGTCTCTCTGCAGGGGGTCGCATTGACCATGGTCACCATGCAGGCAGAGCTTATCTGGCACTCAATGAGGCCGTCAGTTTTGATGACGCCATCAGCAAGGCCGGCCAGCTCACAAGCGAGAAGGACACACTGACCCTCGTCACTGCTGACCACTCTCACGTCTTCACTTTTGGTGGCTATACTCTGCGTGGCAGCTCCATTTTCGGTAGGCTCAGGGCCAGTGCCAGGTGCTGTCTCCCAATTTCAGTGGCACAAGATGCACTGGGCCTCAGCTGGCTCTTTTGTCAAGCGGGGTCAGGATAGCAATGACCTTTCAGGGTTCTTGGGTGGATGAGGCCACTGCATAGGCACGCAGTGCCGGGCTTAGCCCATAGGGGGCGCTGCAGGGCTGCGGCGGCGCCATCCCAGGCCCCTCCTCCCCCCAGGGCTGGCTCCTTCCAGGGCCGCAGACGGCAAGAGCTACACCTCCATCCTTTATGGCAATGGCCCGGGCTTCGCCCTCAGCGAGGGCCTCCGGCCCAACGTCAGCGACAGTGAGAGTGGTGAGTGCGCTGTGTGGGGTGGGCGAGGCGACCACAGTGGGGAACTCCCGGAGGGGGCTGCCCGTCCGCAGGTCCTGAACCGTCATCGTCTGTCCAGGGGACCCCGAGTACAAGCAGCAGGCGGCCGTGCCCCTGACGTCCGAGACCCACGGGGGCGAGGACGTGGCGGTGTTCGCGCGCGGCCCGCAGGCGCACCTGGTGCGCGGCGTGCGGGAGCAGCACTTCGTGGCGCACATCATGGCCTTCGCCGCCTGCCTGGAGCCCTACACGGCCTGCGGCCTGAGCGGTGCGGCGGGCCCCGGGCTGTCTGGCGGCCCCTCGCTGGTCCTGCTTGCTGGGGCGCTGCTGCGGCTGCTGCTGGGGACCGTGTTGCCCTGACCGCTCCCCGGCCCCAGCCCCCTGAATCCCACTCCTCTTGTGTCCCCAATTGTGTTTCCATCGGCACCCATGTCCAAAGCCTCCAGACCCAGGACCCACCTCTGGCCCCTGGGTTCTGACCTTTACCTGTTGCAATAAATGAGCCTCAGCTGGTGTGGCGCTGACCTCACCCCTCCGGGCTGCGCAGGGGCACCCTGGGGCACCCTGGAAGCGGAGCCAGTGATGTTCCTGATGCACCAACGGTCATCCTAGTCTTTGTGGGCTCTCCACCCCCAAACCAGGCAGCGTGAGACCTGAGCAATGTAAAGGCGCCCCAATGACAGTGGCTGCCTGTCACCCTGCAGCCAGTGAGGGTGATGGAGGCTGCTGGGGTCACCTGTTTGGGAAGAGGTTTGGGGGAGGGGCTTCGACAGTATGGAGGGCAGGACCAGTAAAATGGCACCGGTCGGATCAAGACAGCATAAAGTATATAAAACAAAGTGGAGTCACTTGTGCTAACTGAAATGGCTGTCTGTCAGCCATGACACTTTGGTTCAAGAGGAAAATTTCCTAAGAGTAAATGCTTGTGGCAAGGAGACAGGTCTGCCCACGTGGTCAGAGCAGAAATGTGTGGCAAGGAGACACACCTACGATATTGGCACACGTGGTCAGAGGAGCTGTGTCAGCGGGACCACCCACAGCGGGCTCCTGGGGAAATTCTACACCGGCCAGTGGGGGTTTCAAGCAGAACAGGCATGTACCACCCATAAGCTCCTGGGCAAACCCCTCACTTGGCATCATGGGTGCCAAGACATTTACGGAAAGGACCCGGAAGGGTGGAGTGCACCACTCTCAAGGTGGAACTGCGGCAGGCTCCAGACCAGGGCTGAGACAGCCGGGCTCCACACACCAGAGTGCAGCTCCCTGCCACGCCGTTCTCCCTTGGCATCAGCCACCAGAGGCTCTGCCTGCTGGACTGAGGACTTCTCCTGCCCCGCTGCCCACCTGGCTCCGGAGATCCTTCCCTGCAGGACGCGGACAACTGCCGTGCCCACCGTCTGTCTCCCAGACCTGCAGACCGAGACCCTGGGACTCAGGTTCGTTATCTCCCACTGATTACTGTGTGTGTGTTGCATTCCTCTTAGATTGTTAGCGTGCGAGGAGGATAGTAATGTACGTTGATGGTCTACTCTGAGCGACCCTGCATTCAATAAAAGCTGAGTGAACAGCACAGTTACCATGTGTGGCTCTGGTCTCCTCCTTGGCCCCAGGCTGCTCAGCAGGCAGCCGCCAGCTGAGCAGTGGCCCTGCTGACAGAGGAAAGACTGTCATGAACAGATGCTCGTGACAGAAGCACTGGGCCTGGGGTTGGCACCATTACATGGAAGAATAGATGGGACACAGAAAAGAGCGACCTGTTCCAAGTCACTCAGCTACCAACACGATCATTCCCAAAGTCCATTCAGGCTAGGAGAGCCGAGAAACTTCAGGAAGCCCAAAGCAGCCCTTGGCTCCACCCCAAGGTCATCTGAGCTCTAGACAAAGATCACAGGGGATTCCCTGCCTTCCAGGGGCCTCTGTTCTGGGAGGGACAAAGGAATAATCAACTAAACCATTATACAATGCAATGCTGATGCTGGTATGTTCTAGAAAAAAAATCATTAGCATGTGGGAGCACGGAACATGTGTGTGGCCAGGGGACTACAGAGGTGACCCCGGTCAGGAGGTCTGGGAGCAGGGAGGGTGCCCTGAGGGCCAGACAGGTTCGCCAAGATGGAATATGGCAGGCCTGGAGCAAGTCTGAATGCGCAGCCTGGCGAAGGCCCTGATTGAGGCAGCAGTCAGGGGTGATCTGATCTGAGGCCAATCTGTGGTGAGGGAAGGGAAACCCTGAAGGATGCGGGAGCAGCTGGAGCTTCACCCTGAGCGGGACTTGGGACTCGTTGTCAGCAGGCACAGCAGGACCTGACTCCGAAAACATCACCTGGCCACTGTGGGGGGAGGAGTCGGTTCTGTTCCGCCGTCTCACTGCTGGAGGGAGGAGACAGGAACCAAGGGCAGGTGCAGACGCCGAGCCTGTCTCACCTCCCCCGGCCATGGAGGCCAGCATCCCACAGCACCTGCTCCCGTGTGGCTGCCCTCCCCGAGCATCTAACCCACCCAAAGGCAACATTTAAAAGAATTCCAGAAGGGGGCCGCCAGCCATGGTTTCCACTGCCTTCTAACAGAATTACAGATCCATGCCTCCATCCATGAAGGTGCGGGAAGTGACCTGGCTCTCAGGGGACAGGCTGGTAGGACTGAGCCTGCCTCCTCTTTGACTGGTGTCTCAACTGAAGGGCAAACGTCACCTTGAAGGCCTGGCCCTCAGGGCAGCGGACTCCAAGCCTGGGTTTCAGGGGCTGTCACGGAAATGTGGGTGCATGGTGGAAGGAGGGCATCGTCAACCAGGCTCGCTGAGTCGCCACCCTGGCAACTCCGGCACCAACCGCAAAGTCCCGAGTTGGAATACAGCTATTATTTCTGTTCCCTCGGGGTCAGTCCATTGGCCTTACCGACCGGTGGGAGGTGCCACGTGTGTGGTCCGCGGGTGAACCCAAAACCAACGGTAACCCTACATTTTAAAACTGCACAGGTTTTATACCTGGCGGTATGGCCCAATGGATTGAGTGCTGGCCTGTGAACCAAAGGGTCACCGTTCAGGGCACATGCCTGGGTTTCGGGCCAGTTCCCCTGGGGGGGGGGGATGTGACAGGCAACCACACATGGATGTTTCTCTCCCTCTCTTTCTCCTTCCCTTTCCCTTTCTCTGTAAATAAACAAATAAATCTTAAAAAATAAAACTCCACAGGTCTTAGAGACAAATTATTCTAGAGTTAATGCTGATGGCCACACAACTTCAAACATTCTAAAAATCATTGAACTGTACACACTTTAAAGGTTTTACGTATTTTCTTTTAGAGAGAGGGGGACGGACATGGGGGGACACGCCTACCGGCTGCCTCTCACGCGCCCCCAGTGGGGGAGCCGGCCCACCACACCAGCCAGGCCATGAACCGCATACACTTCAGAAGGGTGGATTTCATGGTATGTAAATTATACCTAAATTTTATAACACACTTTCTACTCCCAGGTGTTTTAACATGAGGTACGACAAGCTTCACTGTCAAAGGCAGGTTGGCTGCAAGGTCTCAAGTCCATGGAAACATTCCTCTGCTCCACGGGGCGGACCCACGAGAAGCACAGTAACTTTTTCATTGGGTGCCCAAGACAGACTGGCAGCTCTTGTCACCTCAGGACATGACGGGGCATTGTAGATCTTGAGATGGGAAGGTTAGGAAGAGCAAAGAAAACACGACAGCCTGGTTCTTGGTCATCTGGAAAGTGTCCGTGGTCACAGACGTCCTTGTAACTGTGGGCAGGACCCCTCACCGGCTGGGCCCCTCCCCAGAGCTGCTCGGTAGAAGGATCCTGGGACCCCTTGCGTGAGCCAGCAGACAGGGCAGCTCTCGCCAAGTCTGACCCCTGGGTCTCCCCCTGCAGAGTGCACAGGGGCCGGGTGGTGAGTGTCCCGTTCTCAACTTAGACAAGGAGAGAAAACACCTGTGGAACTAGCTCTGCGGACGCAGTGACTATTAGTTATTTGGAATGAGTACTCTTAGTTTGGGGTTGTTTTTTTTTACCCTTTCCTCCTGGGGTCCCAAGGGCTTGGCATGTCTGTCTGTCTGCCTGAGACAAGCAGGCTGTCAGTTCTTTCTTTTCACCATCAGTGGGAATGTTCTGGAAGATAATAACCTCCGCAGTGGTCTAAAGGCCATCGAATGATATGATACTGCCAGAAATATTCACTGTTTGCCCTGGTTGATGTCTGACGAGACACGTGAGAGTATTTTGTAACTGGGATCAGAAATTTGGCCAAACTGGAAGCTGAGATTCAGAGCCCGACAGGATTTTATTTTTAATTTGGACCTCCTCCTTCAGGTTAAACTGAGACTGTGTAGTCAGAAGGAAAGAAGACCATCAGAGATAATGTAGTTGGACAGGTCGGTCAGCCTACGAAGCCACTTAAGTTACCCAGCTCTGTGGGAAACTGGGCCCTCCCTCCTACCCGACATTTCTTCGTGACACCGTGGATGCCCTAGAACCCATTCAGAGCCCGCCCGCCTTTCCCGTTCTCAGTTCCTAAGACTGAAGCAAAGAAGAGTGAGGGGGCAGTTAAACAAGGAAAAACACAGCTATAGACGCACCCTCGCCGAAAATGCAGGCCACAGCTTCTGTAAGAGTAAGTGTCTTCCCACCGGCATTAAAGAGAACAAGCCTCAGCCCTGAGTGAATACCTTTATTAGCCGTCTTACGGGTAAAATTGTAAAAGGAAGCTGGGGGTGTGTTTCTGCCTGGCTCTGTCTGTACGTCCACGTGTGTTGTGTGGTATTTTCTACCTCTGGATGATAGGGCTAATTTGTAAAAGAGCTCTTATAAACGTCTTAAATCAACAAGTGCTTGTACAGAAATGTTCAAAATATAACAGAAACAAACCCCAATGCTTTTCGTGATCATGTGACTGGGAAAATGTTTGATATTCAAACTAGTTTGAGTCTGGTTTGGTTAAATAGGTGTGTCTTCAGAAATTATAAGCATTGGCCTGGCTGGTGTGGCCCAGTATATTGACCGCTGGCCCGTGAATCAAAATATCACCAGTTCGATTCCCAGGCGGGGCACATGCCTGGGTTTCGAGCTAGATCCCCAGTAGGGGGCGCATGAGAGGCAACCACACATGGATGTTTCTCTCCCTCTCTTTCTCCCTCCCTTCCTTTCTCTCTAAAAAAAATAAATAAATAAGATCTTTAAAAAAAGAAAACCTACATACAAGCTTTTCCTTCTTCTTTTAGTTATTTATTTACTTATTTTGGTGGCTACAAGATGAAAGCTATCCCCATGCCGCTTGGCAGGTGCCAAAGAATTCTATAAGATCAAAGATGGGGAAGGCACTAGTCATGAACACCAGCATGTGAGAACTTCCAGGAACGGAAATCACCTACATGCTCGGCCAGGCGAGGACAACGACCTGTCGCAGGGAGCGCCTGCAGGGGCAGGTGGCGGAGGGACGTTTGACTTACTGCAGAATGACCAGACCGTCCAGAAGGCCGGCGTGCGGTGAGCAGTCTGCGCCTTCTGGCCCAGGTCCAGCAGCGGCCGCCCCCCCCCCGACCGCCTCCCACAGTCACCTGTGCCCCATCTTCAAAAGGTGTCCCGAGTGGTCCGTGGGGGGCTTTAGGAGTGTGGAGGTAGCTCGCACAGCTGCCGACGGGCCCCACCGGAGACTCAGTCCACAGCAATGGTACAGCCACGTATAAGAAAAGAGGCGGGTAGAAGCGGTCGGGCATCAGGGCCGGTGTTCTCACCGTGCCCGCCCAGGCCCTGAACCAGACTCGGGACCGGGTTATTTAGGGCCTATGTGTTATCACGTGTGC